CTGCTGCTGCTGCTGCTGCTGCCGCCGCCGCCGCCCGCCCGCGGCGCCCCGGCCCGGCCCGAAGCGCAGGGGCAGGCCTCGGAGCTGGTGGTGCCCACGCGGTTGCCCGGCAGCGCGGGCGAGCTCGCGCTCCACCTGTCCGCCTTCGGCAAGGGCTTCGTGCTGCGCCTGGCGCCCGACGACAGCTTCCTGGCGCCCGAGCTCAAGATCCAGCGCCTCGGGGGCCCGGAGGCCGGGGGCGAGCGGGGGCCGCGCGGCTGCTTCTACTCGGGCACCGTGAACGGGGAGCCCGAGTCGCTGGCGGCTGTCAGCCTGTGCCGCGGGCTGAGCGGCTCCTTCCTGCTGGACGGCGAGGAGTTCACCGTCCAGCCGCAGGGCGCGGGGGGCTCCCTGGCGCAGCCGCACCGCGTGCAGCGCTGGGGCCCCGGCACGAACGGCGGGGCCGCCGAAGCCCGGCCCCTCCCTCGAGGACCCGAGTGGGAGGTGCAGACAGGAGAGAGGAGGAGGCAGGAGAGGGGCGACGACCGGGGGGAGAAGGACGAGGAGGACGAGGAGGGGGAGAGCGAAGAAGAGGGGGCAGAAGGTGCCACGGAGCTGCCACCAGCCCTGGGGGCCACGAGTAGGACCAAGCGGTTTGTGTCCGAGGCTCGCTTCGTGGAAACGCTGCTGGTGGCCGACGCGTCCATGGCTGCCTTCTATGGAGCCGACCTGCAGGTAGGACTCCCAGAGCCTTCCCGGTCACCTTGCCTGGAGGCCCTGGACGCCTCCCGCGTCTCCGAATTCTTCCCTTCCCAATCCCTGTCTCCAAATTCTTCCCTTCCCGTTCCCTCCGAGAAAAAACCCTTCCCGATCCTCATCCTCCCAAGCCCGACCCCAAACAAGATTTTCACCTTTCTGAGAAAGAGCAGAAATTCTTTCCTTAACTTCTGCCACCCTGGCTTCCACTCCGCTACCCCATCCGTACCCCTTCCAATTTAAAACGGAGGTGAGACTCCAGTCCCCACAACCTGAATCTCCTGCAGCACCTGGCTGACCCAGCGCAGCCCCTAGGCACCTGCCTCTCCCAGCTGAGATGAAAGCGTTATTTTCTCAGCCCTCTACTGTGTCCAGATCCAAGAGGCTGCAGGGAAAGGTAGATGGATGGAAAGAGATGGCTATTTGATTCCCTTTGGGTACAGAATGGAGGTTGCCATAAGTAAAAGACATTGTTTGGAGGGGAAACCTGGAAAGGGGCTGCCCAATTTCTGTGCACCCAGCTGGTTCTGATCAAGGGGCATGGACTACCTTGCCAAGATGGCACTCAGCCCTGGCAGAACTTGGCAGTGCCAACATCCAGCACAAAAAGGGAGGGGAACAGAATTTCTGCCTGGGGGCTCAGCCCGGAAAACCGAAGCTTCGGTGGAAAAGGGAGGGGAGGGAGGCTGGGATGTGTCCTTTCGGTCTGTATTTCTGATGGAGCCAGAACCACACTTGGTCCACCCAGCTGCCCTCATCCCAGACACAGCTCTCAACTGCACTGGGCAGAAAAACCAAGTCCAAGGGATGGCTGTAGCCAGACTGTTTCTAGCGAGACGCAGAAATGGTGCTGAATTAGCAGGAGTATCTGTGTCGCCTTAAGTCCCAATACTTCCCCCACAGACCAGGCGAAGATCTTTCCCGGAGAAAAGGAGATAAGGGTTCCAGGAGAGGGTTGCACTTTCTCTGCCCCAGGGAGCCCCGAACCAGAAATGTGCCAGGGAGAAGAACTGGCCTGCCCAGAGCTCACAGGTTCCTGGGACCCTGGCACCGCAGCAGTTCATTTAACACTTTTGCAGTGATGGCAACCTTGGCTGGGGACCCCATTCTAGGCTCAGCCTGTGCCCTACTGTTGGGGGTGCCGAGGGCATCGGCATCACCTGTGCAGACCAGGAGGCAGTCAGCCTTCTGTTGCGGTCCGGATCTTTCCCACCTTGCTGTCACGGACAGCGCCGGAAGCACTACGGCTAAGAGGTCCACGTGGCTGCTCTTCTGGCAACTGCAGGGGCTGGTTACACCCCAGGGCAGGCTCCCCTGCATGCTGTCCTGGTACTCGCTTCTCCCAGAGCCCCGCAGGGCCGCTCTGATCCAGCAAGGCAGTCTGCCCCATGAGCCTTGGCTCAATGCTGATCTAATATCTGTTTCCCTGCCTGCCCTGAGACTCCTTTCCCCAAGCAAGTACTCAAGAGGGTGGCAGGAGAGGGGGTGAGGGGAGGGCTTGTCCCATCTCATCAGGACCCCCCACGCCTGGTTCCTAGGGGGCTCCACCAGAAAGAAGCTGAGACAGATTCATTGTGAACCCAGAGCTGGGATGCTGTACCCTCCTATCAAACACCCCCCCCATAGATCAATTTCTGACATCTGCCGGAGAACCAAAACATAGGAGCACCAACAAGAACTCAAGGATACAGCAGAAAAGTCCATTTTTCAGGCTTTAGAGCCAAAATGTCCTCCTTAGCACCGACCCGTCACCTCACTCTCGGGCTCTCACCTAGACACAGGAGACGTTGAGTGTTGGCTTCAAGGACATATGTGGCATCTCCGGACAGCACAGCTGTCTAGAGGCAGACATGCTTTGGTGCCAGGCTCCAGGCGCTAAAGCAGGAGGCTTAGCTGAGGTTTGCACCAGGTTTTGTTCCCTTCAGCTTGAGATCCAGGTTTGCTGCCGCAAACAAGTCGGCTTTCTCTGTCGCAGGGCCACCGGGGTATTCCATCCTCACGTGTGGCCTGGCTCACGCTTGCCCCGCCCCATCCCCACATATACACGTTCCTGGACCATTCGCAGCCACACACAGGTACCGCCACACCCAGCCAGCCAACCTGGATCAGGAGAGTACATCAGAACAGGCCCCGGGCACCTGCAAAGGCTGAGTTCCTCTCCCTGGGTTGGGGGCGGGGCAGGGTCCACTTCCAGGTCTCACAGCTAAAAGAAAAGTCTTCCCTGGGTGGGACCAGCCCCACCACCTGCACCTTGGCTCATTATGTCCCGGCCCACTCGCGCCCCTGCTGCCACCATGCTGGGGTGCACAGCTGTTTCTGTGACCACCCACTGGCCTCTCTGCTCCGATGAGCAGACCAGCCATGGAGATGCCACAGGACAGCTCAATCCCCTGGGCTTCCTAAAACAGATGCATGAGCTCAGCTGAGAGAAGAGTGAAAATCAAGTCCTGGTGCCCCAAGATCTTGCCTGCCCGGACCCACCTCCCCCAGATGGAAGCCATGTCTTCATAACTCTCCAAGGAGTCTCCTGGAGGCTTCATGCGCACAGACAGAAGGCACTTTGGGGCGTCTTAGTGACTGGGGTCATGTGAAGATGATGAAAAGCGCCTTTACCCCCTGCAGGGCTTGGAGGTCCTCACCTGGGAAGCAAAATGCCTGGGCTAGATAATCAGTTCTAGTCTAAGCATCTGTGAGGCTGCTGCATGATGAACCAGTCTTCTGGAAGGCTCAGCCATTCTCTGAGTACGTTCAATGTACAGAGTGGTTTGCAGGCATCACCTCAGTGGAAATACCTGTGGAGGGGGCAGAGGAAGAACCTGCAGCTCACAGAGGACACGTGACTTCCCCAAGGTCACACAGCTCTAAGTGGCAGTGCTGAGTCTGCAGCCCCAGTCTCCAGAACCCGAGTCGGCGCTCTGTGTTCTCCTGCCATGCTGCTGCTTTCTCAGAACGAGGGGCCGGGGCTCTGCTCGCCCTCCGACACTTGTCTACGTAGTGGGGCGGGTCCTGGAACGCAGCAGTCCAGAGACATCCAGCCAAAGTGTGAGCCCCTGTCTGTCCTGAGAAGAAACCACCTTCAAGGCTGAGAGGAAGAATTAGCCATTCCTGAGCCCCGTCTCAGTGCTAAGCGACAATGAAGTTTTCCAGAACTCTGTATAATTGAGTTCACTTAATCCCTTGGCAAAAGGGGACCCCACCTCCCACCTTCTTATCTGGTTTCAGAGTTAAGGAGCTCAGACACAGGGGGCTTTCTGAAAGGAGGGAACACCTCGGAAGAGTCCATTACCTCTGTCTACGTGGGCTGCTGCTCATCGTCCCGGATGGCCCTGGAGCAGGATGAGCAGTGCCCGCCAGGTTTCCGTCTGGGGAATCTGTCCTGCCAGCATTCGGCAGTGAGCAGAGTCTCTGAAGTCTCTTCTTAGCAGACAGAGTCCTGAGAGTGGCACTCCTCTTCCCCAAGGCAGACCACACAGCATTCCCAGGTCAGACTGTCACAACCATCCGGACTTCTGCTGACCTGTGTCCTCTGGGAAAAAGATTCTAAACACTAAGGTGACTGTATAGCCCAGTTTGCCCAGCGCTGGGACGGTTTGTGTCTGGTCTGGCATAATCATTAACAGTACCATCTTTCACTCTCAAGGTTTGGAATGGGTAGCTAGCTCTGTAGCTACCTATGTCTTCATGGGAGAAAGACAAGTGCTACACATGCATGCATTATGTTCGCCCACTGGCAAAAGAATGAGTCTTTTCCATCCCTTGTGTCTGCTGCTGTCAGAATGATCAAAGATATGGAGTATTTCCCAAAGAAAATGTCTCAGTATCCAAAGGTCACCACGTTCCCCTGCCCCGGGGGTGGGGTGCCTGCGGCTTGCTTGCATGCCTTGGGTTTGTTTGGGCTGGACTGCAGTTTTCCCCGCGGCAGCAAGGATGGGTGGCAGTGAGTGTGAAGACCAAGGGCGTAGACTTTGGAGCAAAATAGAAAGAACTGAGTGTCCTTGAGCAAGATACCCATTTCTCTGTACCTCGATTTCTTCACCAGCAAAATAGGAGCAGTGACACCAAAGTCCTAGCATTGTCTTGAAGATGCAACAAAATATGGACAGCACCTGACCCAGTGTCTGGGACAGACAGGCGCTCAACAAGGCGCAGCTGTTACCAGAGCTGCCTTTGGCGATGGAAATCCTTTATCAGAGTGGGGACACAGGACGGCCACATGTCGGGGTGCCAGTCACTGCTGTTTCAGCTTTGCCGTCCCACACAACAGAGAGGCCTTCTTTTCCCGCTTGCCCTGGCTCTGAATGTTTAAGGTAGTTCTGCACAACTGCGTGCTTTGGACAGGTGACATCACCCAGGGTGGGTGGAGGGCGTCCATGCAGGCCCCTCTCTCTCCTCTCACTTTTCTTCCTTTGCTTCTTCCCCACCCCACCCCGCCAGCACAGTCTCAGGCCCTACAGAGACTCGGGGAGGGAAGAGGAATACACCAGGTGCTGAGGCAGGAGAGTGTCCCCGTGGCCACTCTGCTTCTCCTGGACCCCCAGGCGAGCTGCCGGGGAAAGCGCGGGACCTGCAGCATGAAGAGCGAAGTGTAACAGGCAACGTTCTGGGTGGGAAAAGAGCTGCTGGACGTGCTTTTGGCCGGGGCCTGGCCTTCCCCCAGACTCCCACCGAAGCTGGCCTCGGCTGCCACAGGGACTGAGGAAGGAATCTCCTTGTCTGTATCTCAGAGAATCCAAGAGAACTGTGTCCCAGCCAGCTGGCCAGGTGTTCTCTATTCCAGCTCCCGGGGGCACCAACGGAAGAGGACACTTCCACTGGTTAAGGGCTTGAGAACCGCAAGCCATGCAAGAGCAGGGCTGTTTGGCCACCCCTGGCTGGGCTGATCATGGGCTCCCACCTCCCTGATGTGGTTTTGGAGGTCACCTGCTGTGCTGGAGCCCCCACTCCAGGGGGACAGGACCCCATTCACATTCTTCAGCTAGCAGCCCGCAGTGGGGAGCGGGGAGCCAGGAGGTGTAAGTAGTCGCCAGGTGGTGAGGCTCGCCTGACCTTCTCTGTGAATGGCTGGGCTGCGGGCCTGGTCCCTGTGGACTGTACGTCAGGCCGCCTTGGGGCCCAGGGGATTGGTGGAGACTCAGGCTCACAGAGCCTGGGTCACCCTGCGCAGGCCCAATGGTCCTTGCCCCTAGGGAACCCTGAGATGCGCTGCAAATGTGAGGCGTTGCCATCGCTGTCTCCCAGAAGAGCCAGGTGGGAGGGAAGATGGCGGGGAGGGCTGTGGGACCCGGATTTGGGATTTGGAAAGGAGCGCTGGACCACAGAACCCTCTCAGCCCTCTGGAAATGAAAGTGATCTGAGATAATCCACGCGATGCAGACCTGTGCTTCTCTCCGCTCAGTGCGGCGCAGACCGCCCCAGACTGCGCGTCTCTGGTTCCCTGTGCTCAGCTGCCCTGGCCCGACGCTTAGCAGCTGGCATCTCTCGGCTTCACACCTTCTCCGTAAGACCCCGTCTTCCCCAGTTTTCAGAGTGTGAAATTGGGACCCAACGGGAAGAAATCTTGTGCCGACAGTTGCGGGTTGCCATGGAAGAGATTCCAAGGGTTGGTCCCTGGCCCGTCAGATTCTGGCCCTTCCTAGAGAGACCAGGAGACTTTCTGCCTCCTGGACACAGCAAAGACCTGGCCAGGAATTCGCTTCAGCAAGCTACCATTCCTCAGCACTCACCCCAGTTGCATAATGATGTGATTGCTTTTTTCCCTCTGGAATCCAGCTCCAGGAGCCAGTGCCAAGTTTCAGCTTGCTGATAAGATGTTTACATCAGCCTAAACATAGCCAGAGTGTTTGACGTGCTCAGCAACCTGCCTACCCCTGTCTGTGGGGCTAACAAAATCCCTTGGCATCCCTCGGTGCCTGCGAGGTGAACAGACAGATCCCATTCACAAGTAATGGGATTCTTCTGGAACTCCCACACATGGCCTCACCCCGTGGAATGTCCCTCTCCAGCCTTTCGTTTCCCTCCTTCCACTCCCACTTTCCAGACCACAGGAGAAGAAAAAGAGGCTCCAAGAGCTGGGGCCGCAGAGAGGCAGGGCAGGCCAGCGGCAGCTCAGCTGGCCGCACTTGGGCTCCAGACGCGCCTGCCCCTGCCCCTTCTCTCCGCTCTGCAAAACACTCCCAGCGGTCTCTGGGGCAGGAGGGTAAGCGCCATCTGGCCTCCTCTAGCCTTGGAATCCAGCAGGGGAGAGCAGGCAGCCCAAGGACAGGAAGAGGCCAAGCAACGGTGTGGGCCCTTTCTGCGAGCCTGGGCAGACAGAAAGCAGGTGGGACCCTAAGCGCACAGGTCTCTGTAGGCCCCAGATTCTCGCAAGGCCTGGGCAGAAGGGCATGGACACTTCCAGGCTGTCCAGACAAATTAGGAAGCCGAGCCCTGGGAAACTTAATGCAAAGAGTATGGACTTCAGAAACAGACACGCCCAGGCTGGCATCCTGGCTTCAATCACCATGTGACCTTCGACAAGTTATTTCACTTGTGTGGCCCTCTACGTCCTCATTCATGAAATGGGAATTATTAATACACCTACTTCATAGAGTCCACATGAGAGTTTGACAAGGGGACATGTGTACAGTGTGCCGGCGGCTGGTGCAGAGTAGCTACTGTGAAGAGTTTAGAGCGAAGTTTTCAGGGTTAGCAATTCCCACCCTGAAAAGTAGAGGTTGCCCCAACAGATAGCAGCAAAGAGTTCGGCTGGATTCTAAGAGGGAGATTCTACTGACCTTGAGCACACAGCTAGTTGCTTCTGGGCTGAGGCCAGGGAGGGACGGGGTGGTTGGCAGGGAGACAGTTGGTGTCAAGATTAAGGCAGAATAAGCCATGCAGTCTAATAGAACTTTCCGTCTGTACACTCCAATACAGTAGCCACGAGCCATATATGGCTATTGATGTGCTTGAAATGTGGCCAGTGCCACATTGTAACTTTAATTTTATTGAGTTCTAATTAATTTGGTTTAGCTAGCAATATGAAGCTGTTCTGGATATTAAGTGTACAAGCTTTGGAGCCAGGCAGGTCTGGGTTCAAATGCTGGCTGCACTTGCCTTAGCTTTGTGATCTTGAGCCCATTACTGAGCCTGTTTTCTTATATGTAAAACGAAGGGAAATAACACTGAGGCCTCAGGATTTTGTGGGTCTTTGGCAAGATGCTATATACCAGATGCCCCACCCAGAGCCTGGCACACGGCAAATGCCCGACGACAAGAGGTGGTGGCAGTGAACAGGCAAAGCGGTGAGATCTGATCCTTCTGTCTGCCTGTTGCTCTTCCTTCCTGACAGAACCACATGCTGATGTTAATGTCTGTGGCAGCGCGAATCTACAAGCACCCCAGCATCAGGAACTCCATCAACCTGATGGTGGTAAAGGTGCTGATAGTGGAAGACGAAAAATGGGGCCCAGAGGTGTCGGACAACGGCGGGCTCACGCTGCGCAACTTCTGCAACTGGCAGCGGCGCTTCAACCAGCCAAGCGACCGCCATCCAGAGCATTACGACACGGCCATCCTGCTCACCAGACAGGTCTGTGCCCGGCTCCGGAAGCCCCGAGGAGGAAGGGAGGCGGGACGGGCAGATCAAAGGGAGGACCACTGGGCCTGCCCAAACATGGGAACTGTCTCCCTGCTGGCCCCAGCTGGACGCCAGAAGCCTTATGCTCAGAATGACGGGGAGAAGGTCATGAGGACAAGTGTGAGGTATTTGCAAGGGAAGGGAGAAGAATCTCGTAAGGGCGCTTTTCCAAAAGTTCGTGACCAGCTGTCTGCTGAGGTCATACATAACAAGAAGAAATGGGCTCAAACTCTCCGGCAAGAGATCTGGGGTTGGAACGAAGAGAGGGGTTCTATCTTCAGTGGCTGCTAAACACAGAGGCAGGTAGCCAGGGGACCCCCAAGATTTCCCCACTACAGGGGGGCTGCATACCTATCTGGCGTGATTTAAAGCTTCCTGGTGACAAGAGAAGGTGACAATGTATGCCAGGCCCAGGTGGCCCCACTGAGCAAGCCCTGGTGTTACCCCCTTTCTACAACCGAGGAAACTGAAGCACAGAGAGGCCCCATGGCGACAGCACCACGGCTGCTGGCAGCCCTGCTGTCAGCTCACACTCGAAACACTGTGCGCTGTCCTGCCTCCCCAAACAAGCCTCGGAAGTCCTGTTCAGCCCCGGGTTGCCGCCAGCCTGGACAGCGGAACAGGCCTCCTCACGGGAGCGCCTGTGCGCAGACGGAGGGAGGCCTGTGCTGTGTCGCTCAGAAATCCATCCTAATAGCCTCTGTGGGTTTTTTGTCTTGTTTTGTTTTATAACAAACGTAAATTTCATGGGTCCCTCTCCAAGTTAGAAAGACCGAGGGTGGGTGAACTGGTTTGACCGTAAACAAGATAGAAAAACCCAATCAAGTGAGGACAGCAGGTCAGGTTGCAGACAAGTTGAGCCCTACTGTTGCTCCCTCTCCTTAGAAAAGCTCAATAAATGCAGGCGACGCCCAGGCCAGTGGGTGAGGGTCTTGCGAGCCCACGTACATGCCGGCGCCACCTCCTGCCCGCCACACGCACACGCTGACGCGCTCTCACTCTCTCCGCCCAAGCAGAACTTCTGCGGGAAGGAGGGCTTGTGCGACACCCTGGGCGTGGCAGACATCGGCACCATCTGCGACCCCAACAAGAGCTGCTCCGTGATCGAGGATGAGGGGCTGCAGGCGGCCCACACTCTGGCCCATGAACTAGGTGAGATGTGCCGTGCCGGAGCCCGCTGCGCCGCATCAGAGGGAACCGCCCCTTCCAGACCCCAGGTAGCCCAGGTCCCGCGGAATATGCAGCCCTCGCCCCGAGCGATGGTCTCCTTGTAGTTCTGACAGAGCAAGTGTTAACGCATACAAACAGGCACTGTGCCTGATGTCGTCGCACGTAACTCCGCTCCCACGCTGAGCACAAGGCCAACATACCAAAACGGTGTCCTGGACTGGCATCCAAGGTCACCTGGAGAATGCCACAGCACGAGACAGATGGGCGGGGGAGTCCGGATGCCGAGCACAGCAGGGCAGTCAGCGTCTGGGGGAGGTGAGCCGCACAGAGTGTCACGTAGGACAGTTGGTAACAGAGGCAAACGCGAATTCAGGACAGGCTGAGGCAGGGGGAGAGTGGGTGTCACTGCTCCTCAGTCGTCTGGGAGAGCTTCCTAGAAGAGAGAAGCCCAGGGGGACGCCGGAAACAAACGTCTTCAGAGAGTAAGGGGTGACCATCCCCACAAGGAGCTGGTGACTGGTCAGCACGGCGCGTGCCTCCCTCGTCTGTCCCGCCTGCTGGGCCAGGTGGGGAGCACGCGGGCAGGACAGGGCGGGCAAGTGGACAGCAGCCTCTGTCCTCCCCCAGGGCACGTCCTCAGCATGCCCCATGACGACTCCAAGCCCTGCACGCGGCTCTTCGGGCCCATGGGCAAGCACCACATGATGGCCCCACTCTTCGTCCACCTGAACAAGACGCTGCCCTGGTCTCCCTGCAGCGCCATGTACCTCACGGAGCTCCTGGACGGCGGACACGGTAGGCACCGCCTGGCTCCTGCCCTGCTTCTCCCCGTCCAGCTGTGCTTTCTCACAGAGCTCTTAGACGTGTGTCCAGGAGGTCGTCCCACCTGGCCCGCCATGTCGTGGCATTGAAACCAGCCCCCAGAGCCCGCTCTCCCTGGCCCCATCCTCCAGCAGCTGAGTTCTGGGCTAGTTTAGATCATTAGTCGCGAGGCAGGTGGACTTAGTCCCAGAAGGCTGTCTGGAGGAGGGGGTGTGAAGGGAGCTCGCAGGACTAGAAGAACGTAGCACAGAGGAGAATCGTGCGGTAGCTCAGCAATGGCAGAGGCAGCGGACGCATCACAGGAAAGCAAGAAGTGGGAGGGAGGTGCCTGGTTAGGGCAGTTGGGATTGCAGTCGGAGGAAGGCAGTGAAGCAATGCATTCTAGAGTCTCCTTTTTAACAGAGGTGGGGACGCATAGGATACGAAAATAGTAGATTATTCAAACAGCAATATTTGGGCTTGATTTGCATGCCAGGGGTTTTAAAAGCACATTTACATCCCAGTTATATTGTGCTGTGGGTTAATATCATCAGCCGGCATTCACTGGGCACACACGGAATGTCGGGAGAATGCGTCCTGGACAGCAAAGGAAAGTCAGTCCTGAAAAAACTTAGCAACGGATGGTCAAAAGTTAGATAAGCTCTACTTAGATGACTGTTGACAGTTTTTAGGTGGAGGTCAGGGAAGCCACGATGCCTATACCGTCGACCCGGTGGATCGAGAGGTCACAGAGAGCTGAGGGGGGAGGCCCCGTCCTCATTCGTACCCGTCTGCTTCCCCATTTCTCAGGAGACTGCCTCCTCGACGCCCCCACCTCGGTCCTGCCCCTCCCCACAGACCTCCCGGGCCGCAGGGCCCTCTACGAGCTGGACCAACAGTGCAAGCAGATCTTTGGGCCGGGTTTCCGCCACTGCCCCAACACCTCTGCACAGGACATCTGCGCCCAGCTCTGGTGCCACACGGATGGGGCCGAGCCCCTCTGCCACACCAAGAACGGCAGCCTGCCCTGGGCGGACGGCACGCCCTGTGGGCCTGGGCGCCTCTGCTCGGAAGGCAGCTGTCTGCCTGAGGAGGTCGTGGAGAGGCCCAAGGTGAGAGACGGCTGCAGCACATGACTTCTAAGTAAAATCACCCATCTTTTAAGAAACCAAGGCGTATGTAGCCACAAGTGAGGAGCACCGGGGGGCTGTACTCCTAGTCAGTGGGGTGGCACTGCTGTTGCTCCAGGTGTCAGGGGACTCCCCCTTGGAGCTGCTCTGGGGCTGACTCGATGGCTCGTGCAGATTAGTGAGAGGCGTGAAGACAGGAAGGTGGCGCTCATCACACGGAGCCACCACGAATCCCACTGCAAACAGAGCGACATGGAACGGGAGCATTCCATCAGGAACTGAGCAGAAAGTCTCCATAGCCCACCCATGTTAGAGCTGAACTCATAACTGGAGTTCCGGGGAATGACAGCAGTGGTGGGAATCCCACACCCCAAGAGGAGGAGGGGACAGGGAATCAGAGCCACCTCCGACCAGGCAGACAAAACTGGGCCCAGAAGAGGGTGAACTTGCAAGAAAACGAGGGCAATGCCAGTGAGGGTTTTTAAATGATTGGCTTCTTTGCCCTGCTCTTAATACGTCCAAACTGTGAGGCTGCTCACATTTCTCTGACTGCGAATCACGGAGCCATCGCTAGGAAACGGCGCCCGCGGAGCCTCGCAGCCCGGGCCAGGCAGCGCTGCTTGCCAGGCGCCCGCCAAGGGCTGTGCTCAGGCTTCTGTGCTGAGCCCGGGAGCCTGCCTGGGCCGGGTGAGCCGCGCACGCTTGTCCTAAGCCTGAGCCGACACAGGGCTCAGGGACTCCGCCTCCCTGCTCAGTCTCGTGACACGTTGTTGAGGGGAGAGCAGAGGGGTCTGTCCCCTCATCCCCAGAGGCAGAGCCAAGCTAAATGCAGGGAGAGGTTGGCATGAAATGATCATGGGATGATGTTTATCATCTGTTTTTAAGGAGAGAAGGCAGATCATAAAGCATTCTACATATACAGAATCATATCTTTGTAAAATAAAAGCATCACATCTGTGTGATTATGTATTCATAACAAAAGTGTGAAAGGATATTGGTAAAAATCATGTCACTGGTTTTATCTGGGTAGCAGTATTTTTAAGAAGTGTTAATTTTTCTTACATTTTCCTGTATTTTTTATAAGAGCAAGTATTACTTTTATAATTGTTTTAATTAATTAATTAATTAATTATTTTAGAGACTGAGTCTTGCTCTGTCACCCAAATGGAGTACAGTGGCATAATCATAGCTATCCTCCCACCTCAGCCTCCCAAGTAGCTAGGACTACAGGTGCCTGCCACCACACCTGGCTACGTTTTTATTTTTTTGTAGAGACAGTGTCTCACTGTGTTGCCCAGGCTGGTCTCAAACTCCTGGCCTTAAGCAATCCTCCCTCCTCAGCCTCCCAAAGTGCTGGGATTACAGGCATAAATCACTGTGCCTGGCCAGTCTTTTAAAAACTGTCATCATTTTGAATGCTCTGTGAAGGACGAAGCTTTGTTCTCACAGATCAGTTGTAAAATGGAAAGCAGTTCTGTTTCTTTCCCAGATATTTTCCTGTCCCCGTAACCAGTAGCTGGTAGACTAGGGGCACCATTTGGCAATTACTCTTTTAGACCAGGGTTTCTCTACCTTGGCACTAGTGACATGTGGGGCTGGGTACGCCTTTATTGTGAGGACTGGGCACTGTTGGATGTTTAGCAGCATCCCTGGTCTCCACCCATGAGATGCCAGTAACATACACCCTCCCCAGCTATGACAACCAAAATTTCTCCAGACATTGCCAAATGTCCCCTGGAGGACAGTTAATGAGTCCAGCACAGTCTCCGGGTTCGTGGAGCCTACAGCCCAGCAGGCCATAGTCAGTAAACAAACAATAGAGGCAGTTCACAAAACCCATGCACCAAAACGAGTATAGCTAGAGGAAGGAGTCAAGGCTACACAGCTGGCTGTACAGACGACCGAAGCCTTACCTCTGCTCCTGATTCAGTGTGACATTGTATCTTACAGGCCGTGGTAGATGGAGGCTGGGCCCCGTGGGGACCCTGGGGAGAATGTTCTCGGACCTGCGGAGGAGGAGTACAGTTTTCACACCGTGAATGCAAGGACCCTGAGCCTCAGAACGGAGGAAGATACTGCCTGGGTCGGAGAGCCAAGTACCAGTCATGCCACACGGAGGAATGCCCCCCTGATGGTAACTGCCACTTAGGGCCACACCTGCCAGAACAAATGCTATTGTTGCTGCAACAGATTCCCCAGAGGAGGAGGAGGGTAGGTCTCCCAGGATGCAGGGTTTTGCCTGTGATTTAGACCTAAAGGTTTTGCAAGGCACCAAGCTTGGGGGCAGCCCTCAGGGATCCAGGACAGTTCTCACTGTGTTGAAAGAGCCTGGCAAAGTCAAGGAGAGAAATTGCCCTAGTTTTCCATGATGTGGGGACAGAGGATATCACTCCCCATGAAATTTACTGGAGAGGGGCCTCTGTAGAGGAGCTAGTGTCTAGGATAATATCTTCCCGGAGGCATCCGAACCCTCGTCTGTGTGCAGAATGGAAGTGTTTTGCAAAGCAAGTGTCGGAGCCAAACCTCCAAGGTCTTTCTAGCCAACACTCAGCCTGGGGCGGAGGGAGGCCTTCTGAATCTGATTCCTGTGCACATTCCTTCTGAAAAGAGTTGCCCATCTTCCCTTTGGGCCGTGGCAGCTGCCTGACAGGACCTTGCCTGGAAGCAGCACTACCTCCACCTCCTCTTGGCGTATTCCTATCCCCTCGTACCTGCTAGAGAGCACACACGTTAACTTATAGGTGGTAAGTGACAGCAGAAAACTGTGAGAAGGAAGCATTAGGAGTTTTTTCCCCACCATCCCATCCAACTGCCCTTTGTGCAGCTCCAAGAAGCTCTGGCAGGCACGAGAAGACAAGCAGAGCTTTAAGAGAGATTCAACCAAGTGCAAAGACACACTGGCATTGGGTCGATGTCTAACAGGGGAATCTGTAGGCTTTGCAGTTTTGCAGGACAAGAAGGATCCACAATGGCTTAAGATTCTAGAAACTTTGCCCTGGAATTGTGAGAGCTTGCCTGGCATACAGGGTGAGACATTCCTGGGAAAAGGGGAGGGTAGGAATAAATACAAAGGACAAGGTAGGCAAGGGCAATAAGCGACATCATGATTTCAGATGCACCAAGATCCACCATTACAATCAAGTATTTTTTAATAGCTCTTGTGTGTCCAGCACTATAATCAAAGTTATAAATGATACGAAAAATGCACAAGGCATGGTCTCTGTCCTCGAGGAGCTTAAGTCCAATTAGAGACCTAAATCCCTTTTACACAGCAATTGAGCCCTGACCTGTGAGACACAGGCCCTAGGTTGGTGAGGAGCTCAGAGGAGAAGCCGGGTGAGCAGAAGCTTCGAGGGGAGTTGGGACCAATCAGGGCCTGGGGGGCTGAGATGATGTCGAGGTGTGAGGGGACACGCCAGGATGGGGGAGGCGTGACAGGGGCGCACATTGACAAGGGCGCACATTCGCTCACATAGAGTCAGGCAGAAGGGACCAGCATGTCGAGGCCAGACCACAAAGGTCCCTGGAGGCTGAAACAGCACCTGGGGGCTGCCCACGCCACCTGTCCTGTCAGAGCACCCAAAAGCTCCTCCAAACACAGCTCAGACCCCTCAGCTGCGTGGAGCACTGCGTCTGTGCGGAGGAAGTCCCGCAGGCCATTCGACGCACAGCTCGGGCGGAGCACCTCGGCAGGGCGAACGGGTTTAATTTCAGGATTATAGCGGGGGAGCCCCACAACTTATTTCAGGTGGATTGTCCTGGAAGCGGCATGCAGCAGGACCAGCAAAGAGGCAGGCACGTGCGGGAGGCTGGGTGCAGGGTCCCTGTGAAGCCGCGAGGCCTGGGCTTGTGACGGTGAGAGTGGGAGGCAGGCATGTGACATCACAGGCCGTCCTGGATGTCGTGTAGCACTCCGTGACAGGTTGGAAACGGTGGAGAGAGATGCTCCAGTGTTCTGGAGACACCAGGACAGCAGCGTCAGACTTGCATGTGGTCGTATCACCAGATGAAAATCAAGCCAGCCAGTGGGAGGACCATCTGGAGCTTGGCCTTGCTGGGGCCAGAGGTGATGGCAGTGCATACAAATGCAGCTCCTCCGCAGGGACCAGGGTTACAGAGGTGGGTGGAGGGGCAAGAGCAGAGCTAGAAATGAGGATTTAGGAGTCTCTGGCCAAATGTCCAGTGTCGCTGAGGAAGTCAAGATGGAGATGATCAGCAGAGTCCTGAAAATAGAGCTCCCTGTGTCATCTGTGCCTTCCAAGCTTACTGAATTGTTCCCTGTTGCTACCTACGTTTACTCATCTGCAAAACAGAATGATAATCTTTCCCAAATGGAAAGGATATTCATCCCAAAAAGCCAGCATGAGGCTGGATGGCTGCAATCCTTCCCCTCTCAGTAAGGGTCACACATGCAGCTAGGTCGGGGTGTGTCTGGGAACGGTGGGCCCAGATGACACTGGGCCTGCGTCAGTGGGTCGAGTCCAAAACCAAGAGGAAGAAGGGTGCCCGGGATGCAGGCATTCGCACCCAGGTCCTCCCTGCTGCCGCATGTGTTACCTGCACGCCGTTTCTTTCTGTTTTCAGGGAAGAGCTTCAGGGAGCAGCAGTGTGAGAAGTACAATGCCTACAACTTCACTGACATGGACGGGAATCTCCTGCAGTGGGTCCCCAAGTACGCAGGGGTGTCCCCCCGGGACCGCTGCAAGTTGTTCTGCCGAGCCCGGGGCAGGAGTGAGTTCAAAGTGTTTGAGGCCAAGGTGAGAATCCCCCTGGGACTCAGATCCAAAGACGGGGAGGGAGGTTGCCGTCCCCACCCCACCCGCCGGCTGCTTCTGTGCTGAGCACGCCCTCTGTCACCTCTCCTTTCCCCACTGCAGGTGATCGACGGTACCCTGTGTGGCCCGGAGACTCTGGCCATCTGCGTCCGCGGCCAGTGTGTCAAGGCTGGCTGTGACCACGTGGTGGACTCGCCCAGGAAGCTGGACAAGTGCGGGGTGTGTGGGGGCAAAGGCAACTCCTGCAGGAAGGTCTCCGGTTCCCTCAGCCCCTCCAGGTGAGTGTCCCGGGAGTGCCGTCTCTACGTAGGAGAGCGAATAATGGGCTTCGGACTCTGACAGGCGCAGGTTTGAATTGTGGCAGCTACTTGATAGCTCTGTGGGTCGGGCATAGCTGAGCTTCAGTTCTTTACAAAACGTCAGCAGTCCTGCTGCCTACCCCAGAGTCATCGTAAGGACTGCATGAGATGGGATGGCCGGAGCCCTCGCCACAGTGTCTAGCCCGTAGGAAGGACAGACACAGAGCAGCCGTTACTTTTACGAGAGCTGGAGCCACGTGGCTAGGGAGGGATCATCTCTGAGTCAATCAGCAATAGCGCTGCACCCACAACCCGGACCTCTGCCAGAAAACCTCTCTTCCAGGCCTGTTTTGGGAAGGATGTCTCCTCCTAAGCCTGGCGAGCCCTGTCCTTTCTGCAGATGGATCTTCAGAAAAGGGGTACAAAGGAGGGGCCTCGGCAGCCTCAGAGCTCTCATGAATCTGAGAACTCCGGATACTTTCCTAACATAGTAATGCCCCCCATTCATAAAACTGCTAGTATTTTCCACAGCGCTTTCACTTCCACGGTCTCATTTGATTCGTAAAATAAGTCTATGGAGTGGGCAAGGCCAATACTATTCTTTGTCACTTTGCAGATGAAGAAATGAAGGCACTTAGCTGGGCATGGGTGACACATGCCTATGGTCCCAGCCACACAGCGGGGCTGAGGTGGGAAGATCACTTGAGCCCAGGAGTTCGAGACCAGCCTGGGCAGTACAGCAAGAGCCCATCTCTAAAAAGAGAAAGAAAGAAAAGAAGTTAATCCACAAAAATATTAAGTGACCCTTCTAAGGTCATATTGATAGTTAATGACAGCCAGAAAGAGAACCCAGTTTTCTTAAGACCTAGACGGCTTTTTTCCTGCCATTCCATGCACTTCCTGGAGAGCAGAGGCAAGGACAGGTGTTTAATGGGCCACACTGTGCCCTCCGGCACCCAGTACCTGTGCTCGTACTTCTCCGGGAGCATCCATCCCTCCTCCCACCACTCCCACCCGCATCCCTCGGGGTTTTGGAAAGCGCTCACTTCCGGGTATTCTGCCTCCTGAAGCTGACCCCACCCTGCCCCGTTCTGTGGGTGTGTGTGCCTATCTTTATCTCTAACCCTCTCATCTCACCAGCCTCAGAGAACAGATCAGCCTATAGCAGACAATCTGTGACTTTTTTCAAATTTAAGCTCAAAGGATATGAAAAAAGAAGCACGAGCTATTCCGGTGCTGGGTTCCTCAGCCGCCTTGCGTGGGGCATTAGACAGATGGGGCTGTGGATACCTTCCCGGGCCCAGACTAGGCAGCTGGCGCCCACTGGGCATGCCCCTAGCCTGCGCAGCCTGGAGCCCCAGAAGGGAACAACGAGCTAAGCTTTTTCTGGCCCACACAAAGCCCTATGCCTGTAATGGACTTGAAATAGTTTCCCAAACATCTTATCCCCCCAGAAGCACAGTGCTCCCAGTGTCTGGGCACACCGGGAAGGTGGCTCCAAAGCAGCAGGCTTCACCCCGATCCTGCCCTGGGGCCATATTAACCAAATACTAGCAGCCGATTGACTCCGAGAGGTGGTGTGAGGTTTCCATCATGCTCAGATCTGGAACGGGGGTGTGAACAGATTTCCCACGTGGGTTTGAGCTCTGGGTATGGCGGTGGCCTAGCAAAGTTTTATAGCAGTGCAAGGAACTAGAGGCATCGAGATCTCATTTGAGAGGCGCCAGGTCTGGCTGCTCCGCGGCGGCTTTCCAGCCCCTCTGCACGTTCCTCCTCTCTGTGCCACCGTCAAGACCACATAGCTAAACTCCTCAACCCACACATTTGAAATAGAATTGCCAGACGAAGCAAAAACCCTTGAAAACCCCAACATACAAGCCATTCCCATCTGCCTCGGCAGCTAATTTGTTTAGAATTTGGGGGCAGTTGCTTAATCATTTGCTCGCTGGTTTTGCCTGCCCACCCCCAGCCCTCTGGGGTACCCACTTCAGTCTCCAAGGCACCTTCATGACCCACACTGCACTGCCACTGGTCCTAACGGTGTCTGTCTGTTCCTGTCACAGTTATGGCTACAATGACATCGTCACCATCCCAGCTGGTGCCACTAACATCGACGTGAAACAGCGGAGCCACCCCGGGGTGCAGAACGATGGCAACTACCTAGCCGTGAAGACGGCCGACGGGCGGTACCTGCTCAACGGCAACCTGGCCATCTCCGCCATAGAGCAGGACATCCTGGTGAAGGGGACCATCCTGAAGTACAGCGGCTCCATCGCCACCCTGGAGCGGCTGCAGAGCTTCCGGCCCCTACCCGAGCCTCTGACCGTGCAGCTCCTGACAGTGCCTGGTGAGGTCTTCCCCCCCAAAGTCAAATACACTTTCTTCGTTCCTAACGACGTGGACTTCAACGTGCAGAACAGCAAAGAGAGAGCAACCACCAACGTCATCCAGCCGCTGCTGCACGCGCAGTGGGTGCTGGGGGACTGGTCTGAGTGCTCGGGCACCTGCGGAGCCGGCTGGCAGCGGCGAACTGTGGAATGCAGGGACCCCTCCGGCCAGGCCTCCGCCGCCTGCAACAAAGCTCTGAAACCTGAGGATGCCAAGCCCTGCGGAAGCCAGCTGTGCCCCCTGTGATCCAGCGGGGCAGGGGCTGGTCTTGTGCTGGACGTGGGGTGCTGGGGTGCAGACAAGGTCCCCAATGTGGTGACCGTACGTATCGAGATGGCATGGCCCGCCCGGGCCTCCCATTGCCGCAGCCCCTCGGGTACTGCATGAATTCATAAGGGGAGGCGGAGAGGGGATGTGAGGACAGATCCTAACGTCAACTGTCTAGTGGACTGGACCTTGCTCGGGGGCCAGTAGAGGGCATAGGTTAAAAGCTAAAAGTGCACTTATTGACCCGAACAGGACACTCAGAGTCAGCCTGTTTGCAAAGGACTAGCAACGTTAGATGAAGAAAATTCTTTTCTATCTGGTTTCCCCCGATAAATAGTCTACCTCAGGGGGGAAAAAACTAGTACAAGAGCAGTGTGGGGCGGGGAGTGGGTGGCGCATGTCAACGCAAGCTCCATTGCCACGCCCCAGGCTGTCTTCAGAAATGACCGGGACTGTCTTCAGCGTTAAAATCCATCGCCTCCGGGGCTGCCGCACGGTTGTGGAGAGCCACATGTTCTCAGGCTGCCACCTGCAGGGGTGGATCCATTTCAAGTATTTATGCAAATGTGTCTCTGAACTAAAGTGTGATCTCATGCCAATGTAGTGGTCTGGTCTGGTTCATTATTTCTTTGGAAAGGGCAGGAACACAGAGCCCAGGAATGGAGGCTGAAACCAGGTCAGCTCACCTTGGACTCACGTGGGGCAGCTGGCACGTGCCTGCCTCGGATTCTTGCAAGCTTGCTGAATCCAGCTCGTGCCGGCGACTTTTCATTTGCATGATCTAGACCAATGATTCTCTGGCGCTGATGGGCATTGGGGTGAGCTGGGGGCTGGTTAAAACACAGATTGCGGGCCCCACCCCCAGACTTTTTGATCCAGTGGGCCTGGGTGGCCTGAGAATCTGCGTTTCTAACAAGTTCCCAGGTGAGGTGGAGGCTGCTAGTTTGGGGACCACACTTTGAAAAATCCCTGTCTAGCAGGAACTTCCGACTCAGAGACCACAGTAGCTGTGCGATGCCCCTGGGCTCCTTACTCTTAGCAAAGAACATCCCGTTCCACTCTGAGCTTCCCCATGTCGCCCTCACAGGCTGGCCTGCCTCATTTTATTTTAGCTGGAAGCACAGATTCTCTCGGAATCCCAGGAATTCTAAACCTGTATCTAGGTAACATGATCCCAACCGCAGCACCTGCTCTCCACCCGACCCACACCACATTTCATCCGCACCTTGCAACTCTTTTGGCCCAAGTCACGTGCGACTGTCTCAGTGAGCCTTTGACCCCAGATGGTGCCCCCAGCCCGGTGTCTGAAAGCCACTTGGGAGTCTCCCAAACCCCCTATTCTGCTCCATACCCCTCATCTCTCCCCCGGCTCAGAGGGACTCTGGCTCAGTTCCATATGGCCTGGTGTGGAGGGACGCGATCCTTGGTCACAAATGGATGAGAAAAAAGAGATGACATCAAGAAATGACATTCTAGCAAAGAAGGAAAATACCTAAATTGGCATCTTCTCTTTTTTCCTTACTTTTGACCCCTCTGGCCTCCCTGCAGGTTTCTGTCAAGCCCCTTTCACAGATAGGGTGCCATGGGGAGAAATAACGCCATACGGAGCCCCGGTGTGAACGGCGACTCAGGCTTCTGGGGCACAAGGGGATTCCACCCCCTACTGTCCCCGCAGCTGGTCTCTGCGTGGTGGCAGCGGACATGGAGTTGACCACGCTTTCCTGTCTGCCCACTCTTGCTAGCGAGTGGGAGGCCGGCTTACCTAAGCATAAACAAGCACACACACAGGCTTGCCGAAGACGAGCAAAACCAGATTTTGTCTTTGCTGCGCACCAGTTTTGTGGAGGCTGATGAATGTTTCTGCAACTCTTCATCTCCTTCCATTTCTCATTCTCCCCCAAATAATCCCCCCACTAATGTGTGTGTCCCCCACCAATGGCCCAGGCGCGGCCAGCTGTGCCATCCGCACTGCTGGCATCATTAGCAGGCACAGCTCTTGCCCTGGAGTTCAGCTGGCAGCAGAGCTGCTGATGTGCAAAGCAGAATGGAATCCAGCTTGGCTCTCCCTGGCGTGTGGGCCCGGCCAGGCTCGCAGATCGCATACTTGTTTGTGTCTGGAAACTCAACAGCTGCAGCCCAGGGACTCGGAAAACAGATCTGCAGAGGCAGACACACCACTATTTGCCCCAGCCAACCACGACCACCTTCTCAGCGCAGAGAAACAAAGACTGTATTTCCTCTGCTGAGCATCTGGTTTTTCCAGCCAGTGCTCCTAATGCAAGCTGGTGCTGCCTTCTGATGGAAGGTCCGGACTCAGTAGGCACCTTGGTCATTAATCTGAATCCTCCGAGAACCTGCCAAACGTGTTTCAAAGGTGGCACTAACATCATAGTGAATTTCCAACCTTTCATCCTTAAGATAAGTGAATCTTTGTCTGGGGTTTATTCTCTGCCCTTTATTCCCCTATAGCTGACCAAAGGGTTTTGCGGATTTACAAAAGTGCACGATATCACTGTTCCCTGACCCACTGTAGCAAACCACTCCTCTCCCCCAGAAACATTTGGCAGCGGTGGTGGGACCCATGTTCCCGCCAGATCCTAGCTTGCTCTCTGATGATGTCCGCTGGGGTCTATATCCTTCACGCGTGGACTTTTAACCAAGTGGACCCCTTGATGAGGACCTTTCCTCTTTCCCGGTGTCCAAACACACAGTTCTTCCTGCCGTCCTCTGCAGCACGCTTCATTGTTTCTAAATGCCCACCCTCCACCCAAGAAAAACCAAAACCGCAAATGACTGGAACAATCGGAAAGTTCTCAAGGGTATATTGGCTTTTGCTTTGTCTTGACACTTTCCACTTGTGGTCCAGGCAGGAAAGGAGAGAGGCGTCGTGGGCGTTGCACGGTTGAGTCTGTACAGTTGCATTGCCGGGTGCGCCAGGCTTTGCCACCCGGCCCAGAGTCCCCGTGCCCAGGTCTCCCCTGGCCCCAGAAGGGGAGGCTCATGAGCCCCGCTGCAACCTTGCTCCATGTGCTCTGCCCCAGCTCACCAAGTCCCTCTAGGAGCCAGCAGGGTCCCCTTTGTTGTCTGGGGATTCGGAATAGTTTCTCTGGAAGAGTGAACAGGAATGTGGAATTTGCCAAAGAGAATAGACGTAGTGTTACCCGTGGGTTTCCAGATTTCTGCTCTCACAGCCTCATCACTTTCCTTTGTCTCTACGGCGATTTGAAGCTAAATTACTGGATACGTAACCCCAAAACCCAGGAATGGGGTGAACACCATGAGGACAGTGGTGGCGACATCTTAGGTAGAGCTAAGTTACTGTCCCTGAGACCTCTCCTCCGTCCTTCCCCACCCACTCTTCTCTCTGTGCAGTGGGAGGGAATTCCCCAGGTGCAGAGCAGCACGTCCCTGCCCTGCGTCCCCGTGGCTAGACGTCCCCGTGGCTAAGCGACCAGCCACCCGGGCCTTGAGCATGCACCCTCCTCAGGCACGGGGACAGAAAGCGCAGGAGGGGGCGACGCAGCAGCACTCCAGCCCTCGAGGAACAAAAACAGAGGCTGCTCTCCTTTGGTGGCCTGCGACTGAAGAACAGCCTGTCTTACGGGGAAAATTCTGCCCAGTACCGCGTTTTCCTGCAGTCCCCTGGCTCAGCTTACAGCTTCGGGAAAGCTGCACGTGGAACGTGAAAAAGAAAGAGGTCACCCATCCAAGGTGACATTTTTGTTGGTTCAATGTGGGTGATCATTAAGGTGACAAATACCATGGTTGTATTGACCTCACACATGCAAATATTCTAAACAACACAAGCAAGCATGCCACAGGGAAGTAAAACCAGAGTGCCCAGTGAGCAGCGTGGGTAGTGGTGCCCACGGTTCCCCTTCACCACGCCGGCCCCTCCCAGACACCTGTCTGCTTTCTGGGTCAACCCTTCGGAAGGACCCTGCCGGACTTATCAACCAGGTGTGCCCCTTCACAACCCGCGCCGTGCTTCCCGCTTCACTCTTCTTCAGACGGGGAGCGTCTCTGACATTCCACTTAGGAAGTAGCAGGCCTTGCTTAAAATTGAGTTCTGGCCAACCCACACTCCCCAAAATAAACAAAGGGGTTCCTCACAGCCACTGCTCGAGTACTGGGAAGAGAGATGCCACCTAACGCACAAGTACATGCTGAACTGTGTCGATAAGCAGGGAGGGAGAAAGCCACCTGTCTCTTCTAGAACATACTTTCCCCCAGGCCTTGGGCTCAGCGAAAAGAGACAGGAACATTCTGGCCAGTCTTCCATCCCCACGAGCTGTCCAGCCTACCCCCGGCAGACGCACAACTGCCCCAGGAAAGGAGAGAGTGAACAGCCTTGCCCGGACCTCACCGTTCCTCATTCCAAACATCTTGTAAGTCCCAGGGGCGCTGAAAGAGTTTGTCCTCGGCCAAACACAACTTCCTGTTTCTAAGAAAGGGAAGAAAAAAATAGTTGAAAGGATTTTTGGACACTGAAGATTTCGAGTTTCTGTATACACAAATGAATCAGACACATGTGGAACAAATTGCTCCGGAAGTAAGAAAAGATGCTGCGAGTTCCTCTCGCTGGACCAGAAAGCGGGAAAGGGTAGCTGGGAAGGGAGGCGCGTCAGAGGCTGGAGGGAGGAGAAAAGCCATGTGACTGTCGGAGCAAAGAGAGGGTCCCACTGATGACAAGGCTCAGCAATGCCCCTCCTGAGGCCACATCCTGAATTGCTTGTTACTCAGAACTTCTCCACTTCTGAGGTTGTGAATGCAAATACCCTCCTGCCCAACCACCGCTTCCTGTCCTTCCAGATCTCTCCCCAGCTCCCACTGAATGCATCCCTCGTCAGCACAGGGGCTCCCAGGCCCTCGACCGCCCCGATGTGTGCGCTCTCCCCACCTGTCTTTACCTCTCCTCTGTCTCCACTTCTCTCCCTGGGCGCTCAGACCCCGTGTCCCAGCACCTCGGCCTCAGTCTT